GCGTTTGGGGGGATTCGGGTGCCTGGGGGGTCAGCGGGCGCCCGGGACGCTGGCGGGGCTGAGGGCGAGTCTCAGGGCAAAGAGTGGGAGAGGGGAGGGCACAAGAAACGGAGGAACAGGTTTGCCACCTGTGAAGAAGGGACAGTGTTGACTGTAGGCAGAACTAATAGGTGGCCCCAGACACCTCAACATAGACAGGTGCCCCCGGACACCCCAAACGCATGCCAGACACCCAGGCAGGCGCCATCAGATACCCCAAACGTGCTGTCAGGCACCAGAAAATTGTTCAGACACCACACCTAGTTCTGTTAGATTCCCCAACACTAACATGCAAAGTTTGAAAAACGTGCCAAATATCCCTAAAGTACCACACACACCTTCATCCAGGGGCCATCAGATACCCCCAAAAGGCTTTCGGACACCCAGAAACATCACCCAGAAACATATGAGGGACCCTACGCAGCAACTTTTAGATCCTCCCCCAAAACACAAACCAGATGCCCGAAATACAGATGTGATCACGTACCCCGAAACAGGTGTTCAGGGTCTGAAACATGCCAGACACCCCCACCCAGGTATTCTTAGAAAGCTGTAGACGTGCCAGATGCCTCCTCAGGTACCACGGGACATCCCAGCCCTGAGGCTGCTGGTCCAACCCAGGTTCTTCACAGGCGGGGCCTTTGGGCAGTAACCAGGAGAGGAGCCAAGTACCTCTCACCCGAGCTTCACGCTGGCCCACCAGGCCAAGATCTCCCCAAATCAAACTCAATTCAACACACACGTAATCTTCGGTCAAGAGCCCTCACTTCAGAAACTGAGGGGGGCGTCCTCAAGTGACCTGCCTTCAGTTTCAGTCCCGTCTTTGCGGTTGAGAGAAGGAGCATGTCCAGGGAACTGGAGACTCCAGAAGTACAAGGACATGCCTCATTAGACGCCCAACTCCGGTCGAGGTCAGAAGCCCCAGTTCGGGTCCTTTGAGATCTTAGCCGGTCAGTAAATGTTCACTCTCTGAATTGCTATGACTTTTGGACTTTATCCCAAAGGCACTGGGGAGCCATTGGAGATTTAAAGCAGGAAGAGTGGCATGACCCTTATTTCTATAGCCATCTCGGTTACAGAAACCTTCAGGTGACACAGCTCTCCCCTAAATGTAGAAACTGACTTTTTCAAAGAACCTGGCAAGGAGACGTATCTCTCCTCTTTTACACATCCAACCATTCTGCACCTACTGAGTCCTTGCCATGAGTCGTGGACTCTAAGAGCTAAGGAGACACAGAGAGCTTAAGTCTAAAGAAGCATTTTTTGGTCTTAGCATTATCGACACTTGGGCTGGATAATTCATTGGAGTATGTTAAACAGCATCCTTGGCCTCTACCCATTAGAGGTAAGTAGCACTCCCAGTCCTGGCAGTCAAAAATCTCTGCAGGCATTGCCAAATGTCCCCTGGGGGACAGAATGACCCTCGGCTGACAGCGGCTGGCCTAAGAGACACTCAGACACTTATACAGTCACCTAATGCAGGCTTCACAATGGAAGTGGATCTGCACTATGTTTTAAAGGGTGACTAAGTGTTAGGTGGCCCAGGGAGTTCCTGTAGCAGCTCTGAATGAACGAGGCACGGTGCATGGGCAGTCACAAGACTTCAGGGTGGCTGGGCTTTGGAGTCAAGGCGGCTGAATAGTGAGAGAGAAGGGTGGAAAGGTAGGCGGGGTCAGACCATGAAGGGCCTCAAAGGTCAAGGCCAGGAGCAGGACTGTCTGGAATGGTATTCCTTTAGAAGGGCTGGTCTCTGGGGAAGCATGTCAGCTTTATCCTGGAGTCCCACCTTCTGTAATTACCAGGAGAGTGATTCACTCCCTCTTCTGCTTCTTACTGTAGGGCTGTTTCCTCTAGGGGACAGAGAGTAATCCGGGGCTTTGAACACCTCTGATGGTAAATAGGCTTGTGGCGAGTTATACCCCAGAGATGCCTGCTGTCAGCCTGCTGGGAGTGAGACACAGCTGTTCCGGCTTCCTGCGCCTCCTCTGACAGGTGCAGGGGCTGTGGTCAAAGCCCAGGCTTAGGGTCTATGATTGAGATGCTAGCTTTGTCCTAACAACAATAGTGATGACGATGATGATGATGATAGATGCTACTATCACCCTTCCATACCAGGCACCACGCTAAGTGCTACCTACATCATTTCTTTCACACAAACTCAAACCTTCCTTGGTCTCAAAGGCTTGTCTCCAAGAACTGGAGCTTGATTTCTTCCATCCTGAGTGTAGCCCCAACTGAGTGACTCACTTCTAAACAATAGAAGAGGAAGAGGGAAAAATAGTAACCTGGCAGATGTTACCTTAACCAGGGGAGGGGATGATGGTTAACATCGTCCCCGGGGATGTCGTGGTCACAGGACTTGCCCTCTCATATAATGAGGCAGGAAGTTTCCTCAAACCCATAACCCCTGTGTCTATAATGAGAAAACATCAGACAAACCTAGATTGGGGGACACTGTACAAGACACATGACTAATACTTCTCAAGACTGTCAAGGTCATGAACAATAAGGAGAGACTGAGAAACTGTCACAGACCAGAGAGATGGGAGAGGGAGGATGATTCAAGATAATATAGTGTCCTGAGTTGGATCCTGAAACAGAAAGAGAACCCTAATGAAAAAACAAACAAAAAACCAAACATTTCTTGTATGAAAGAAATGATGTAGGTAGCACTTAGCATGGTGCCTGGTATGGAAGGGCGATAGTAGCATCTATCATCATCATCATCATCATCATCACTATTTATTGTTAGGACAAAGCTAGCATCTAAATCATAGACCCTAAGCCTGGGCTTTGACCACAGTGACCTTCAGATTTTCCAGTGAAATCTGAAGTTGGAGTTTGGTAAATAGTATTGTACTAATGTTGGTTCCTAAGTTGTGACCAATGTCCTGTGGTCATATAAGAGGTTAACATGAGGGGAAGCTGAGTGAAAGGTATAAGGGGACGCTCTTTGTTCTTTTTGCACCTTTCTGTAAATCTAAAATTAAAAGTTTAGGGGAGAGATGGGGTCCCCCATGGAGGGGTAGGAGGAGTTAGTTTTGTTAAGTAATCTAAGATAGTCGTATACTCTAAGTTAGGGTGTATTACCAAAATGCAGCAAAATATTCCAGCTACAAGTTACAAGCCTAGTCATTCTGAAGCTTGACCTTTTGGTTAAAATGTTAAAATCTCTCAGTAGGAGCTTGTTATAATGTTAAAATCTCTCTGTAGGAGTTAGTTTCTCTAGTCTATAATTAGTGTTGATTTTTCTTGTAACAAAATAAAACTATAAGTTATGGCTCCTGCTTTGAATTGTATTCTTGACCTGGTTACTCAATGGTTTCTACTAGCCACAGAAAGCAGTCAATAACAGTGTCATGCTCGTACCAAAGAATTAAATCTGATCCTTAATATCTGGTATTTTGCAGTAAGTCTACTGGTAAGACATTATAGGAAGCCAGTCTTAAAATTTGAAAATAAACTCTAGTCTCCTTAGCTATTTTAGGCTTTTATAAAAGGCAAAAACTCATTGCAAAACATTTTTCCAAGTCTGAATGCTTATATTCAATCCAGGCAAAACATTTTTGCCTGGTTTAGAATTACAGGTAGCTTATTTAAAGCAAAGGAAAAACAATTGAGTGTGAGTTCACGGTCTTTAGAACAGTTTGAGAAAATACGGTATAAAGGTGCTTTCGATTTCCTGTTATTTTAAATATTATTATACAGAGCTACTATTAATACCATTTTGGTGGGAAAATCTTAAAAATTGCCCCCAGATACTGACAATAAAGCACATCAAACAACAAAATGTCTTTGACATATTAAACCTTTGCTCTTCATGCAGCTGTAATTTAATTTTCTCTTTTTCTCCATGTCTATTTTTTTTTAAATATAAAATTTTGGTTTTGGAACAACTAAATAAAAGGTTGTTATTATTATTTTAAAAAAATCAAATAGTGTGATGTGGCAGTGGATTGGTGATCAGGGGCTTGGGCTTTGGGCTGGAATCCTGCCTGTGTGACCTTGGGCAAGGACTTAACTCCTTTGGGCCTCGATTTCCTCATCTGCAGAATGGGGAAGTACTAGCGCCTGTCTTACAGAGCTATTGTGAGGGTTAATGAGGAATCCGTTTAAAGCACAGGGCGTTTCAGATACTGTAAGTGCCCAGTGATACACTGTTACCCATTATTACTACTTGTGCAAAATCTTCTGTGATTGTAAAGGGACGGCCAGGAAATTAGTCCCTGTTGGCACCCTCTTCTTTCAAGATCATATTTGTTAGGGGTTTACCGATCCACTAGCTAGGGTAGGCACTTCTTGGGTCTTCCTTGCTGCAGAGTAAGTCAGTTCAGGGGCCCGCAGACCTTTTCTGCCAAGAGCCCCACAGCAAGTATTTTCACGTTGGGGATCCTGCTGCAAAATGCTCCACCCTGCTGCCTCCGCAGCGTGAAAGCGGCCGCTCACTATGTCCTCCTATGGCTGGCTCATCTTGGGCCTCGCCCTTCTGTCTGCCAGCTTCTCACCAACCCCCTGGGCCGGGCGCCTGAGACAGGGCTCCGCAGGCCCGACGCCGGCCCTGGAGGGAGCCCCGCTATCCAGCCTCCTCGGCCCCGGGAGTCGGCGGAAACAGGGATCTCAGCGCCCCGAGACACCGGAGCGGTCGGTGCATCTTGCACTTCGCAAGGCCCGTGCCGGCCTCAGCTAAACAGGCTGTGTGTCCGAGAGGGCGCTGGAGCGCCTTCGGCGGACGGCAGGGCCAAACTGCCCGGTCCCGACGGCAGCCCCCGCTCGAGGCGAACGGCGACGGCGCCCGGGCGGAGGGAGGGACGGGGAGGAGGCGTCGCGCGCGGAGCCAGGCCGGCGAGGAGGTAGAAACGCCCCGACCTGTTCCGCGGGTGGAGGTGTCGCTTCCAGGGCCCGCTCTCCATCTCTCTAGCGCCTGATTTTCGCCCAGGGCGATCCTGGCCACGCCTAGGCCCGGTCTGGGGTGTCCCGACCACGGGGAGCGGTGCCGCCGGCGCCCGGGGGCGGGGCCGGTACGCTGCTCCGCATCCCAGGGAGCGCGAGGCCGCCCCCACAGGGCGTGACCCGGAGCACGGGCGTGTGGG